GGCCGTTAGGATGGTTAGCTGGACGTCTGCCTCAGTGTCCTGTCCCTGTTGCCCTTTTCCTGCTGAGAGGCCGTTAGGATGGTTAGCTGGACGCCTGCCTCAGTGCCCTGTCCCTGTTGCCCTTTTCCTGCTGAGAGGCCGTTAGGATGGTTTAGCTGGACGCCTGCCTCAGTGCCCTGTCCCTGTTGCCCTTTTGCCACTCACAGCTGTCTGGGTTTATGGGTCCATCCCCATGCACCTCCCTTTGCCTGTGACCTTGGTGACCCAGCTTTGATGACCCTTGACCTCTGACCCCTGCTCTTGCCTGGCATACTCCAGGGCCACCATTGGGTGTCAGGCTGGCCAAATCCCTGGCTCTCCAGGCTGCTGTCTGTTTTGTGGCCTATCCAGAAAGCCCCCCCCCCACACCTGTGGCAGGCGTATGGCTCCCCACCCCCATTTTCCATTCAGCCTTCACAAAGCCCACAGTTTTGCCCCCCCCCCTTGGCCGCCTGAGACACTTAGCCATTACGAGGTGCTGCACTCTATCTGTCTGCATCCAGCGCCCCCCCTTGGGCACGCTGGGAGTCACAAGTTGCGCGTCTGAATCATGCTTTGCCCTGGGGCCAGACGTGAACATCCAGCAATAAACCTCCATGGACCACAGATGCCCCCCCCCCCAAGGGGAAGCATGGCTGTGGGGGGGGGGAGTGTGCCGTTGCCCCGAGACTGCAGGGGGGTGTGTACTGAGCCCCCATCCCCCCCATGGGCTGCTTAGGCAGCTGTTACTTAATCCCGCTAATCGGGCAGAGCGTGTGGGAATGAGAACCCGCCCCACCATGGAGAGCGACGTGCACAGCATCACGGGCACGCCGCCTACACGCGTGTGCTGCTCACACGCAAAGGCAGCGCCGTCACGCACAGCCTCGCACGCTCGGACACCTCCCCTGGTGTAATCCTGTCCTTAAGCGACATCTTGGCCTCTCCAGAGATCAGCCCCCTCCCGCTTGTTGCCCTCGGCCTAATGGGATACCGTCACCATTAACCCCTCCCGTTTTGGCCTCCCCCCGGCACAAATATCTGCCTGACACCATCCGTCAAACTCAGGCTCTCTGCTTTATGACAGCTTATGGCCCCCCTCTTGCTGGAGGGCTCCTTTGATTATGCCGTCGTGGATTTTCCGTGTTGCTGTCACCGTGCCTGCCTCGTCCGTTCCCGCGGGATGCAGCCGCGCTGCGGGGGCTGCATGCTTCTGCGCGCTGCTCTGCGTCTCGCTCTTTAGGGCCCACGTCCCATTCCATGGCCCAGGGTGAATCTCCATGGCTTCAGGCTCCTTGTTCTATCGCTCCCCTCTGTTCCCCAGCAGCGTAAAGGTCCCTTGTCATTATCTGCTCTGGCTGTCTTACATCGACTGGGTCGTGATTATGGCCCTTACCGCCTGTCCTGCATTCGCACGTCCCACCCCCTCCAAGCTTCAGGTTTTCCCGTCGTGGTGTCATCATTGGCGGTGCTGTGGTCCACAAGCACGCAGACAGGCTGACGGGGTGGGGGTCTCGCATGCACCCGCACGCCTGCACTCACAGTCTCCTCTGCTTCTCCTCCAGCGGACGTACACTGTCATCGTGGAGGCCTGGGACTGGGACAACGGCACACACTCTGGTGAGTACGGTGGGGGCCTCTGAGAGACCCTCCCCCTCCATGTGTGTTTGATGTCTAGCTTTGCTTTTGGGTTTTTGACAGGCTGCGGTCAGGGGAAGTACAGCTTCCTGTGTTTTTTTTCTTTTTTAAATGAATGGACATGGACATGTTGGGACTGTTCCGGACTTACCTAGATGAACCAGTGATTGTGGAGTCCTCTGACACTCAGGTGGACAAACGCTGACGTAGGCTTGTAGTTCTCATGTTCTCCAGACATAATAGTGCAGTAGATGGTATTTCGACGGTATTTTCCAAAGCAACACTATTCCAGTGTTTTGAAATCTTGGCAATTTTTTTAAAAATTTGCTGCGTCCTCCTGCCCCCCCCCCACCCCCACCCGCAATATGTCAGCAAACAGCAGATGTCGTCGTGGGGACCACCTAGCCCCCCACTCGGCTAATGCCACATTATACCCAAAACAGTACAATATGCCTTATTGCCATAACAGCAGCCAAGCCTACACTGGTGGCATGCCCTTGTCTGTGTGTGTTTGTACGTGTGTTTGTAGAAGCTCTACAATTAGAGTGTACGTCATCCCACAGCCCCACTGCATTCTGGGAAATTAAAGGCCAAGCAGACTTAGGATAAGGGGCCCAAGGTAAGATGATGGGAAGTGCTGCTTGCTCAGGTTAGCTGCATCTCAATGGCCATTTGATGGTGTTTCTGAGGATCATGACCACTACCCATCTCCCCCCCCCCCCCCCCCCCCCCCCCCATATGCGTGGAGCTTTGATCTGATTGGATGGTCACCGTGGAGATTCGATCTGATTGGCTGGTCATCAGACTCCCAAGATGCATGGCGGCTCCGCGTGTGGAGCCAGCGCGAGGTCACCGCATCCTGTTTTCCGCTGGCCCCCCCACCGCGGGCTGCTCGATTTAGGCTTTTGTTTTGCCATGACAGCGGGACACCTGAGGAATCGGAAGGTGTTTGTTTGAGAACGTGGGCCTGAAATATCCTCCAAGGATGAGGTCCTGGGGATGTTATCATGGCGGAGTCTGGTCACGTCACTGAGCGCATGACCGGCGACCGGAGGCTTAACTCGCCCTTTGTTGCAGGTCGATACACGTCGCAGATGCCTTGGTACCAGTTCTCTGCTGAATCACTGGCACAAATCCCTCAGTGGTCGTCTGATAGCATCAAAGTGCTGTACGTTACTCAGAGCTCCTGTCAATTTCAATTTAATTTTATATACTGCCTTTCACAACTGAGTCACCCCAAGGCACTCTTAGCGTGGGTGTGTTGTGATACATTACAACATTATTAAGACAGAATACTACAAAAACAAGGAAAATTGTTTGTAGCATCTTCTAATTGCCTTTATAATTGGGAGATCAGGAGCAGACGGCTTCCGAATGACTCTTACATGTAGTAAGAGAGTCACCACACCATCTGTATGGGTGCAGATGGTGTTCGTCACCAAATCCAGTGACCCACTTGTGGGATCACGCTTCCAGAGCGAAAACGGCGGCAAGTTCCTACAGCCCCGGCGTGATTCTGAGTATAAGACGCTAATGTGCCGGATTGTAATGCGTCAGCCGATGGGGCTGTTCAGCTCGCCGCCCACTACTATTACACGGGCTTTACAAACTTCTCCTCCTGTTTGTAGGGCTCCCTGTCTGAAGATGAACCTCACTGGCCTGTTTACCTGCCTCTATGTGCCTCTGAGGCAGCTTAGCTAGAGGGCTACCTCACTGCCTCAAATGAGGAAACCCTAATGTCTGCCATTATCGCCGCTGTAAATGACTCGCAGCGTCACTACAGGTTATAGCTGTTCCAGTGTCTGTCCCAGTGGGATTTAATGTGTCTGATTTGATGCGTTGTTGCCACATTGCTAAGCAGCAAGTCCCTTAGACTCCCGCAGAGACAGACGTGGATCCTGTTCGCATAGAGGAAGGTGAGAATGAGTTCCTCAGTGTATAGGATGCATGCAGCTGTATGAGTTGGGGTGTTTCCCCATTAATGGAGCAAAGTATTTGTTTTACTGACTGTGCTTTGCACAGGGTAAAAGCCTCACAGCCAACCCCAGGGAAGAGGAAAAAAACAAAGACTCACAGCCTCGTTAAACCGCTAATTAGCAGCCGCTCGCAATGGCCCACTTCCCGTTTCTGCCGGCGACGCTACCCTGTCACATGACCAGTGGTTGGTCAGAGCCCCCCTCCCCGGCCGGCGGGGACTCAGGAAGGAGGCTGCCGGGCCTTGTTTACTGGTCAGGAAGGCCCCGGGACGGGTTCCTGTTTAGACCCAGAATGGGGGATGGGGGGGGGCGCATTGTTCTTTATCAGGCAGCGGCAGTCTATTTCTGTGGGCACTTGGGGAGGCGTGCACTGAGGAAATCGCAGACCCCCTCGTCCGCATCGCGATCCTGTGCCGGCTCCGATTTTAAACTGAAAGGAGCCCCCTTTCTGGCTTTCCCAGCCAGGGGGCCCCGGTCCACAGGGGCAGCTGGGAGATGGAGCTCCCGCTATCTCTGTTTCTACCTGTGGCTGGTCAGGCGGGGGGGAGGGGGTGGCAGGACTGTGTGAGGGTGACGAAGGGCTTCCCCTCTCCTATCATCTTCATCTGCTGGATATCATCTAGGGTGTGTTTGAGATGAAGTTTCCTACACACCCTTTTCTCTGTGTGCTAACAAGGTGCAAAGAGGCTGGTGGTGAGCAGCCCCCCCCCCCCGGGAGACCTCCTCCTCCTCCAGCATCGTTACTGTAACGAGTTTTCAGGCTGCCTCTGGCGGACGCGGCCTGCGGGGGCGGGGGGAGCGCGGGTGGAAGCAGCTGACACTTCCCTTCCGTTCCAGGCGGGGGCCTCCTGATTGAGCAGAGTATCCACACGGGCATGGTGAACCCCGGCGACGAGTGGCAGTACATCAGGCACACCGGCGCCACGGCAACCCTGCAGTATCGATTGCGCGTCCGCTGCGACCTCCACTACTATGGAAACAAGTGCAACAAGCAGTGCCGGCCGAGGGACGACTACTTCGGGCACTACGTGTGCGACCAGTTTGGCAACACAGGCTGCCTGGAGGGCTGGATGGGGCCAGAGTGCCTGATAGGTGAGAGGGCGTGGCCTGGAGGTTGTGGGTGTGTCCTGAGGTGGGTGGGGCTAGAGGTCTGGGGTATAGAGGGTGTGGTCTGGGGGTATAGAGGGTGTGGTCTGGGAATGGTTGGGGCCAAAGGGCAGACAGGGCAATCTATGATGTGGTCTGGTGGTCTATGGGGATAAGGGGTGTGGCTTTGGGAGGGGTGGAGCTACTGGGTATGGCCTGTAGACCCATAACTGAGGGCATAATCATCTAGAGGGTGTTACAAAGACTGTATTAGGAAGGAAAACTAAACAAGCTTTTTTCCTCTTTCCTCACCTTTTCCCAGCCATCTGCAAGCAAGGCTGCAACCACGGCACCTGCAAAGTCCCCGGCGAGTGCAGGTAAGGGCTCCCGTCTGTGTGGCGTCTGTGTGGCGTCTGTGTGGCGTCTGTGTGCTCATGTGCTGCTCAGCCTACATCAGCTGTACTAGACCTTTTCTTTGGGCTGTATTTTATCAGCTAATCGGTTGCTTTGCCTGACTGTTGGATGCCGAGGGTGGATGCTGTCCCTATTTTCTCTCTTAGTTCGTCTCTGTCCTTCTGGAATAACCCTGTCTTTCCTCGGTCAATGTTTGTTCTGGGCCAAGCTCCACCCATTTTGGTCACATCAGCTGGGCATGTTTTTTGTGTAGTGAGTCCCAGCTTAGGAGTGTGGGTGAGCCGCTCTCCCCTGTGACGGGAAGGGCTGTGATTATGTGCCCTTTTACACCTGTCATTACGGTAAGGTGACCGGCATGACTGTAGAAGCTCTGCCAGCAGCGCTAACGGGAAGAGCTGGGAGCTTGCCATGCGGTCAGGGCCATTAGCAGTTAGCGTAGCCTGAGAGAAGGGAAGGATATAGACGTGCCACTTAAGAGCTGCGCCGGCATGCCGTCAGGCCCGTTGGGTAATAGTCAGCACATTTAGTGTTGCCTTAAATTGCTCCAATAATATACTCAGGTGTGTGGTTGTATGCCTCTCCAGATAGTTAAATGTGTTAAGCAAACAAGTCATTGAACCCAAATGAGGCAGAAAAGGGACTTTGTTCAGTAAAAACTGTACTGTAGGGAGCAGATTTGCTAAATGCTGCCTTTTAGCAGTAGCCTTCACCGGTCTAAGCTGTGAAAAGCAGTGGAAACGATGTGATAAGCTTAAGGGATGTATTTCATTTCTCAAAGTCTATGAACTAGCAACCTTGGTGTTACCATGTCCAAGAGAGGGAATGAAATATCCCTTCTGGGGTTGTGTAGTTCAGCTTTGAAGTAGGTGGGGGTGTTGCTGCGGCAGGGGGGGTCTCGGAGACCCCGGCGGCAGTGTGGCGGTAGACGGGGTGGGCAGAGAGGGGTGGGCTGTCCAGAAGGACAGGGACTGCAGTGCTGGATGATTCACAAGGACTCTGCTCCTCGAGGTTTGTAGCTGTGATTGATTTGCTGCATTTTTCAATGAAAGCGTATTTAATCGATGATGCCTTGTTGATGGGCGATTCTTTATCAGGCTGTTTCACACAGTTTCACAAAGACCTGGTAAGTGTTGGCGTGTTTATAGATCCCCGACTTGTATGCAAAACCCTGAGGAAGGGACCTGCCTCAACACCGGATTCGACGTTTGCTAAGGCATGAGCGTCTTTTGAAGGTGCCAAACCCGCCACATAACGGCCTTTTACATACAAGCCCCTCTCATCCATCCCAGGACTTCTGCATCCAGGCCCAACATTGGGTTCTTTCACGGACATGGACAGACTTCCGGTCTCGTTCTTGAGCAGTGCTCTGATAAATATGATCAACTCCATATCTTGAGGTCTGCACCTGGGTCATGTGACCCATGCTTGAGATGTGAAACCAGCAGTCCCCATGGTGATGATCAGGCTCTGTTTAACTTCCTGCCTAACATGAATATGCTAAATCCACCTCTGGGGATTGTGGGTCTCTCGCGTGAGTCCATGGGCTCAAAACCGCTCCCAGTAACAGGAGGGACTTTCTTGAGATTGGTTGGACTGGTGATGTGTTTCCGGGGCATGGATCTGACTGTACAGATTTCCTCGCACACATCTGTCCTTGAAATAGCAGTGGCGATACCAGCGAGCCCATTGGATAACCCTGCACTGCCTAGCTGGTTGCACCCTGCTCAGATAGCAGAGTGGTAATGTGAGCGTGCTGATTGGCCAGCCCTTCCCTGGTAACTGCCCCCTTGCTGTAAGGTTCACCCTCTCACACCCCCTCCTTCCTGAAGTCGCCCTGACTACCTTGGCTTGTTGATGAGCTCCGCCCTTGTGGTTTCCAGGTGTAACTACGGCTGGCAGGGGCCATTCTGTGACGAGTGTCTCCCGCACCCGGGCTGCGTCCATGGGACCTGCGTCAAGCCTTGGCAGTGCAGCTGTGAGAAGAACTGGGGAGGACTTCTGTGCAACAAAGGTTAGCCCCCCCCCCCAGCCTGGCCCTGAGGCTGGCTGCTGCTTGGTGGAAGCGTGAGATGAGTACTAAAGTGTGTTAATACGTGTGTCCAGATCTGAACTACTGTGGCAGCCACCAGCCCTGTGTCAATGGCGGGACGTGCATGAACACAGAGCCTGATGAGTACAGATGTGCCTGTCCTGATGGCTACTCGGGCAAGAACTGCCACATCGGTCAGTAGACTCATTGGTTCCGTGCTCTTGAATCACCTGCCCCGCCCATCACGGCCACGCCCCTGTGTCACACCCCTGCACCTCTCCATCCCTCCTACCGGCGGAGCAGCTCCTCTCCTCCAATCAGGATCTCCTACCTGCCCCGCCCATCACAGCCACGCCCCTGTGTCACACCCCTGCACCTCTCCATCCCTCCTACCGGCGAAGCAGCTCCTCTCCTCCAATCAGGATCTCCTACCTGCCCCGCCCATCACAGACATGCCCACTTCACACACCCCCCGCACCTCTCCGTCCGTCCTAAGCGGCTCCGTCTTCCTTCGTACCCTAACCCTAACCCTCTCTCCTCCAGCTGAACACGCCTGTGTGTCCAATCCCTGTGCCAATGGGGCCACTTGTCATGAAGTGTCGACCGGCTTCGAATGTCAGTGCCCCCCCGGCTGGTCTGGGCCCACCTGTGCCAAAGGTGAGCCCCTGGTTGCGGCCCCCGTGCTCTGCCCACCCCCTCTCCCCGGCATGTCTTGCGGTGCCGTACTCTGGGTGTCCTCTCACCTTGGCGAGCGCTGACCTGCCCAGAGTACTGTAACGTAGTGAGGTATCTGTGTTCTGCGATCTGGCCTTGAACCAGGAGCCCTGCCAGGTGGTGCTGGTGAGAGTAGTAGCTGGTGGTGCAGTAGTGGCTGTGGATGCCTGTGCCAACCAGTAACGGCCTCCTGTCCCCCCCCCCCCCCTCCCCCCTCCCCCAGACATGGACGAGTGCTCCTCCAGTCCCTGCTCCAACGGTGGGACATGCATCGATCGGGACAACGGCTTTGAGTGCCTCTGCCCCCCGCAGTGGGCGGGGCTCACCTGCCAGATCGGTGAGTGCAGAAGATGGGGGGGTGGCAGATCGCTGAGCGCAGTGGACGCTGAGCACTGGCTCCCTGCACCCTGCCCTGACGTCTGGGGGGTGGGGGGCTGCGTGTGTAGACAGTGGGCCTACTCTCCATCCCTACACCCTGCCCTGACGTCTGGGGGGTGGGGGGGTGCGTGTGTGGGCTCCCCTTTCCCACAGGGCTCTGATGCTCCTCTGTAATGTGAGCCGGGTGACTGCAGTTAAGTTCTAAATAATTCAGGCCTGACAACTGCAAGCCACCGCTCTAATTTTAGCCAGCCGGCTGACTATGTAGGGCTGGAGGGGGCAGTTGTTTTTGTACCTCCCCCCCCGGGAAGTACAGTGTCTTGAGGCACATGAACATGAAGCCTCTTGGCCCAGCAGCTATACTGCTTTGTGTGTTTTTTTTTTTTTTTGCTGAGCTCTTTAATGATGCAGGTCGTCTGAATGAATCCTTACCAGACATGCTGCTCTCTTGCCATGGTCCTCAGAGGCTCTGCTCTGGCTGGAGTCCCTCCGCCGCTCTGGCCGGCGTGTCTGTCACCTGCCCGCCTCCGTAACACCTTTACAGCTGCAGCTCGCTGATCAGCTCAGCCAGCGCTGATGCAATGTCCCCGTCTGCTCAATGACATTTGCACATCCGCTGTTCCTCCCCCGTTCAGAGGGATGGTCTCTCTTCTGGGTCGGGTGCGGCTCAGTGGGTCAGGATGCTGTGTCTAAAGGTCACTGGTTCGAATCCCAGGGTCGGCAGCGTGATTTTACCATCGGACCTTAGAGCAAGGCCCTCGATCCCTAATTACTTGAGCAATTTTCTGACCCTGCTTTGTCTGGAAAATGTACATCACTTTTATAGATAAAATAAAAATAGAACTGTTCATGTTAAAAAAAATCCCCTAATTAGGATTTATACACACACGCTTCCCGGGTGCGGAGAAGCCTGGAGTCTCGACTGCCACACGTCCATGTACTTGGGCACGATCAGTCGCTTCGCTGGAGCTGGGAGATCACATGACTTGGGCCCTTTCTCAGTTATTGGTGGCGGGACTTTTTCTCAGGTGTCTCTCTGTGTCCATCTCTCTCCCCTTCTCCCTCTCTTTCTGTCCCCCTCTCTCTCTCCCCTTCTCTCTCTCTTTCTGTCCCCCTCTCTCTCTCCCCTTCTCCCTCTCTCTCTCTCTCTGTCCCCTCGTGACTTGCTTGCCTTCCGCACTTCACAGATGCTAATGAGTGTTTGCGGAGGCCGTGCCGTCACGCCCACTCGTGTAAAAACCTGATTGGCAGTTATCACTGCAACTGCCAGCGTGGATGGGCCGGACGCAACTGTGACATCAGTCAGTACCCCGCGCGACTTCACTACCCCGCGCTGCCATCTCGCTCGCGGCTGCCAGCTGGCCCCGCCCACACCGCTGGTCCTCTGTGCCGAGAGCACAGGCTTGCGTGCCCCTGCCCACTCACCCCATGCCACCCCCTCGCTGGTGTCTCCACCACCACCGCATGCCACTGAACCGGCCGCTTTTGCCCATGGTGGCCACACTAACTGGGCATCTGTCCCATAACCTCGGCTTGCATCCTGACTAGCAGTGTCAGAATCCATATGATGTGCATTTTTAACCCCCCGTCCCCCCCACCCCACAGAGATGAACGCCTGCCGTGGACAGTGCCTGAACGGAGCTACGTGTAAGGTAGGCTTTTAGCCTGAGTAGGATAGGTAGGCTGTGATCCTGCTAGAAATAGTTAATCTGTTATTTTGGTTACCCATAATGCACCTGGGAATGCCCGAGGGAGCAGACCCTGAGTGACTGACGTTGGCTCTGCCTTCGCAGAAGGAGGCCGGTGCCTACCGCTGTCTGTGCCCGCCTGGCTTCATGGGCCAGCGCTGTGAGGTCCAGCAGGCCGCGTGTGCCAGCAGCCCATGCCAGCACGGGGGCCAGTGTCACCCCCTGCAGGACAGCTTCATGTGCTCGTGCCCACTGGGGTACTCGGGCACCTTCTGTGAGGTGAGCTGGGGTTCGCCGTTTGTGCAGGGTGACTCTAGGCTTTCCTTGGAGCGACTCCTCTGCGTTTACGGTGTCCTGCTTGGCTGTTTTAATACCAGACCTGCACCTTGCCGCCTTCGCAGGTGAAGCACAACACGGACCCCTGCAAGCCCAGTCCCTGTCAGAATAAGGCCCCCTGCCATGCCCTCGATGGGGGCTACTACTGCGCCTGTCCCAGCGAATACGAGGGGAAGAACTGCACCCACCTGAAGGACCCCTGCAAGGCCACTGCCTGCGAAGGTTTGCTGCATCACCGGGTGCTGTAGGTGTCCCTTGCAGTGCCTGCCTCCACAACGGTACATTTGTACATTTATACATTTTTTTCCCTATCTCCAGTGATTGACAGCTGCACCATCGCCGTGGCGACAAACTCCACAGAGGAGGGCACGCTTCGCATTCTGTCCAATGTGTGCGGGCCCAACGGGCACTGCGTGGGGCAGCCTGGCGGCGGATTTTCCTGCGCCTGCAAGCCTGGCTTCAGTGGCATCTACTGCCATGAGAGTATGTCCCCCACCCCCCAGGCTAAGCATAAGGTGTCCGCTCCCCTGCTCAGACTCATTGTCTGCCCCCACCCCCATCCGCAGACATCAATGACTGCGCGTCCAGCCCCTGCCAGAACGGCGGCACCTGCGTCGATGGCGTCGGCTCCTTCCAGTGCTTCTGCGCCGACGGCTGGAAGGGCGCGCTTTGTACCTTTGGTGAGTCGCCCCTCCCTCATCCATGCACCCCCTCCAGACGTGAACGAGTGCAGCTGCAATCCCTGTAAGAATGGTGGTCACTGTGTCGACCTGGTGAACGACTTCTACTGCGAGTGTGACGGCGGCTGGAAGGGCAAGACCTGCCACTCACGTGAGTGCCCCTCCCCCGCCGTCGCTCTGACTTCTCCCCGCCCCCCCGTCTTCCATGCCTGACTCTCCTCGTCCACCTCCCCAGTCTGTGCCTTATGTATTTTCACCCTGGTTTGACTCTCCCCGTCCCTCCAACCCGTGGCCTGTGTGTTTTCGCCCCCACCTAAGTACACCCCCCCCCCCCTCCCCACCCCCCCTCACAGGTGAAAGCCAGTGTGATGCCACCACCTGCAGCAACGGTGGCACCTGCTACGACCATGGAGACGCTTTCCGCTGCGCCTGCCCCCCCGGCTGGGGGGGGCTCACCTGCAACACAGGTTAGTTCCCGGGCATGCTGGGAGCGTTCCAGTGGGGAGGGACTCGTGTCGGACATATCTAACTCCACCCCCCCTATCCCGTTTCAGCTAAAAACAGCACGTGTGCCTCGAACCCGTGCAAGAACGGCGCCACCTGCGTGGGAGGCAGCGAGGCCTTCACCTGTATCTGCAAGGACGGCTGGGAGGGCACCACCTGTGCACTGAGTAAGGCCGCCTTCCGGACCCTTCTGCAGGATTCCAGCCCTCAGCCGCAGCGGCATGTAGCAAGACAAGGGAGGTCACAAGCTGGGGGGCTCGATCTATGAATTTTCACCAGCAGATATGGGGGGGTGTTATTCCATGTGCAGAAGATGCTTCCCTGGTAGATGCAGAGGAGATACACTCCACTCTGCTGGAGGTGTCCAGGTTTCAGGCTCCTGGGGGGACGTCACAGTCCCCCCGTTAAGCAGAACGCCTGAATCTGCACTTTATTAATGTCTGAAAGCCCTGCGTGTGTCTGACTGGTCAGGAAACGTATCGCTGAAACGCGTCAGGCAGAGACCCCCAAAAACAGCGAAGCAGAAATCCCGGCTACGCTGACGACGTCAGCGGCGCCCACGCGAGCAGAGTAACACACTCCAGCTGGATCCGGGGTTACGCATCGGAGCTGCCATCAGCGTATTCCGGCGCCCCGGCCCGCCGCTCGGATGTGCCGCTGCCCGCTCGCGTTTCCTGTGCACAGGGCAGGTTGTAATTACATCTTGTTTTCCACTTTCCCCCACAGACACGAACGACTGTAACCCTCACCCCTGGTAAGTAAAGCTCTCGGTTAGTGGCCTCTCTGACCCCCCCCTGCCCCCCCCCATAGTACCCCTTCCTTTTGGTGGGATGGCTATACCCACTCCATGCTGCCTGGAGACACTGGAGATGTTCCTGAATCAAATTTAAATCTTCCGGTTTGGGAAGTAAACTTTAATCACTTGGCGGGGGGTGTCTGACTTAATAGGACTCGGTCAAAGGCTTAAATTGGGTCTCTTTATGAGTGTGGGGGGTATTTTTGAAAGCCTGGATGTGTTGGGGCACGTATGAGCATGTGAAAGCTCAGTAATCATCATTCATGTGGGAGTGTACTAGCGGGATGGAGTCTGGGGGAGGGACACTGTAAATACACACTTTTGTCTCATCCCACAGTTACAATGGTGGCATCTGTGTGGACGGAGTGAACTGGTTCCGCTGCGAATGTGCCCCTGGATTTGCCGGCCCTGACTGTCGCATCAGTGAGTCCCGAACCTTTGACCTTTGACCCCTGCACCCCAGCAGTGGCTGGCCTTGGACCTGCAGACCACATGGATGAGTTACTATTGTTTAAGTGATAAGCGTAGTCAGATCCACCAGTCAGACCTTGTAGTTTTAGTCCTCTGTGAACGTGCACAGTAATTTGAGGCTTGCAGGTGGATCCCACCACAGACAGTGGTGTGGCTGCCAAACTTGCCCGTGAGAAAGGAGCACGGCTTCCACCACCACTGTAACCAGGACCTGAGCCTCTCTCTCTCTCTCTCCCATCTCCTCTGGCCCAGACATTGACGAATGCCAGTCCTCGCCTTGCGGTCACGGCGCCACCTGTGTGGATGAGATTAACGGCTTCCGCTGTGTGTGTCCCCCTGGCCAGATGGGGCCTCGTTGTCAGGAGTGTGAGTAACAGCAACTTCCTCACGGTCAGGATAGCCCCATTCTGTCACTTTAGGTTTCAGCAGGTGGGATGTGGTCTCAGGCTGAGGGTCCTCACGGTCAGGATAGCCCCATTCTGTCACCTTAGGTTTCAGCAGGTGGGATGTGGTCTCAGGCTGAGCGTCCTCACATTCAGGATAGCCCCATTCTGTCACCTTAGGTTTCAGCAGGTGGGATGTGGTCTCAGGCTGAGCGTCCTCACGGTCAGGATAGCCCCATTCTGTCACCTTAGGTTTCAGCAGGTGGGATGTGGTCTCAGGCAGAGGGTCCTCACAGATTGCCCAATACCAGAATTTGATCTATTTACCTGCACAGGGGTAGGATTGGGCAGGCGGTTCTTTTCATGCGCTGCCACAGATCACCCGACCTCTGGTTTCCCTGTGCAGTCGCAGGTTTCGGGAATGCGTGCCACTATGCGGGACTGCAGATCCCCCATGGCAGTCAGTGGGACCAAGACTGCAATACCTGCCAGTGCACTGACGGCAACTTGGAGTGTACCAAGGTACGGCCACGCCCCTAGTGCTGCTGCAGCTACGTGTTAGTCACAAGTCAGCCATGATGTGTGACGTGCATCGGCGTGACCACATCCTGCATTCCTCTGTTCCAACGGCGGCTACCTCTGTGCAGGTGCTCTGTGGGCGTCGGCTGTGTCTCCTCCATGAGAATTCGGGTCAGGACCGGTCCCCCTGCCCTGGGGACCGACCCTGTCAGGAGCATCACTTCCTCACCTGCTTCTCTCCGCCCTGCCACCGCTGGGGCGTGTGTGCCCAGCCTGACGTCCCCATCCCACTGCGCAGCAAGTGTGAGCCCAACAGCGGCTACCTGGACAACAGCTGTGCCAGGATCACGCTCATCTTCAACAAGAACAAGGTGCCCCTGGTGAGCTCTCGTCCCGGGATGCGTATGCGAGAGGCGCTCGCTGCTCCATGGTGTGATCGACCAGCTGGAGTCGCATATGGTGATGCGCAGGATTGGGTCTGTCCTCTGCAGGGCACCACAGTGGAGAACGTCTGCTCAGAGCTGAGGTACCTGTCGGCCACCCGCGCTCTAGCCAAAGACCACAACCTGCTGCTGCTGTGTGACCTCTCGCCCGGCAATCCTGACGCAGTGGAGGTGGCCGTTGTGAGTATCCACCCCTCCCCACCTGTTTCCACGCGAATCTGAAGAGGGTGTCTTAACACGCATCTTTATTTGGGTGTTGCGTAACTTGGAGGAAGAACCATATTTAATTGGCAGGCGCACTTATTTGCTCAGGTATGGAATCTGAACTGAATTTTAATTAAATTTTCGCACATGTAGCTCAGCAGCTGTGAGTCCAGATTAAGGCCTGCAGAGTCCTGTCCTGCCTGCTGTGCTTCTGCCGTTCACATTTGACCCAGAGCGAACACACTTGGGTTTAAAGCATTTCCTCCCCATAGTGCTCGTCTGCTTTGACCTTGTAACCCACTGATACTGCTTGTGTGTCAAAGACAGTTTCTAACATTTAGGCTGAAAATGAGCAAGAATTAATTGGCTGAGTTGTTGTCCAGATCTCTTGATCAGTATATAATGAGTTTTATTTTATGAATAATGAGGAGGATGATGTTATTTAATGGTTCTTTCTGTTAATTTGCTTTTGCACTTGCATAGGAGTGGCAGGTGGGAGTTTGTGTGTATTTCTGTATATGAACCACTGGTTACACAAATGAAGTTGTAGTTTGGCTACTGCATAAACCCAGATCATCATTTAAGCTAACAATCCAGTTTTGGTTGTTCGGTGATATGTTCTTAACCTCTGGAAAAAAATCAAAAATGGGACATGAAGTTGGGACAAATAGTTTTTATACGTTTTCAGCTGAGAGGGAGTTTTTGTGTGTGTTGCTGGTAGAATGAGGGATTCTTGCATTTAGCTTCTCTGCAGTATCTCAGTACCCTGTCTGCGGCGGCACAGCCTGCAGATGTAAATATCCCGGGATTGAGAGGGGGGAAGCTTGCTGATTGGTAGATAACAGGGGGACTGAGGACCACCTACATGTGATGCCAATTCGTCACCCCTTGTCCTACCTGAACATTGGAAGCAGCTAGTCCTTTAGCTGTGGGGTGTAGTCTTAAAGTAACCCCCCCGTCGTGATCCCCTGTAATACGCTGCCACCACTTTGTTCGTACCCATGGTGGCCATCTTGTGACACCACGCCCCTTCTCCAGTCCTTCCAGCAGGATGACGTGGACCATCGTTTGATCCAGGAGGCAGCCGGCGCCATCGTCGGCTCGCTGTCCAAGCGGCACAACAGCAGCCTCATGCTGGCCATTATCGAGGTCAAAGTTGAGACGCAGGTCTTGCCCAAATTGGCAGGTGAGTGGGGAGCCAATTGGATCAGTGGGAGGGGCTACGTCTGCCAATCGTGACTCCATGCACGATGCTGCCTTCTCCCATGGCAGGATTGTGTTCTGGAGCCGCCTTTGTTAAATAAGCGATCCGATAATTTGATATGCCTGTAGTAGACCGCTGACTGACACACACTGGGAGAAGATGTGTATGATCATCGTTTATGTCCGTGTAGGCAGTAGTATTGTTTACCTTTCTAAACGAGTCGAGCAGTCTTGTCTGCAGCCTGTCGGCCATAGAGAATTCCATTTCTGAATACTCTTTCTTGTCTGTCTATATGAGTGCGAACCTGCTTCCATGTAGACTGTGACCAGAATTCATATGAGTCACTCCAGCCAATGGGCTATGCAGCACGGCCCATAGTGTGTTCTGATTGACTGTCCCCCTGAGCAGACTACCTGGTGCCAGTCGTGTGCGCATTCTTCTGCGTGCTGTCATTCTCCTGCCTGGTGGTCTGCGTCTGGTGGACACGCAAGCGGAGGAAAGAGCGGGAGAGGCGGCAGCCAACAGCGCTGGACGAGAACATCAACAACCAGTGGGAGGCGCTACGGCCCATAGTGCGGCAGCAGCTCAAGGACAACAAGGAGGCGGAGAAGGAGTGCAGGAAGCTCATGCCCTCCCCTGACAGGACTTGCGACGAGGAGGAGGAGGAGGAAGAGGAAGAGGGCAATGGGCCAGTCACCGTAGAGTTGGACAAGTATCCCGGGCAGCATGTGCACCCCAGGACTGCACCCCTGGTGTGCACCACACGCAGCTCTGCCCATAAGCAGGCTTACGTGGCACTCAGCCCCAAAGACAACCGCTGGAAGAACGTCAACCGCACCAGCATCAGCGAGAATCTCAAAGAGCAGAGCGTATGAAGGCCCGGGGAGAACTACCACGCCATCGCTGGGTCGGGGAGAACCACCACGCCATCGCCGGGTCGGGCAGAACCACCACGCCATCGCCGGGTCGGGGAGAACCACCACGCCATCGCCGGGCCCCTGGCTCACGTCCGTGTTTCACTTTTTGTAAACGATTTATGGCTCAGAGATGGAGCCCAGATTTTTTTTTTTTTTGTATTATTCGCTTTGTTTTTATGTAAGGATGAGACTAATTTTTTCTTAATTTGAAGTTAAAGGAAACCTAAGTTTGCCCAAGTACAGTTATGACTGAAGCAGGGCCGAGATTAATGGATTACACAAGTAAAAGAAGAGAACGATGGACATTTTTTTTTCTTTGGGGAAGTGCGGATTATGGCTGAGTGGCAAATGAGATTTTTACGATTCTCCAGAACGGCGGCAGGGGCTGGGGGGGGGGGGGGGGGGTAGAGTGGGGGGAGAGACTAACACTAACATGGTTCTTCAAGGACTGTAACAGACTTCTGGAAAGGTGTGGGGCACCTTCCCTCTGAAGTGGCCTTGTTTTGTTTGTTTTTTGTCTCCAACTGGCCAGGATTTCAGTGTTTGTGTTGCTAAGTGCCTCCTGGGGAACCTGATTTTTGTCCCTGTAATCAAGGAAAAGAGACAGGCAACAGTTTTTTTTGTTTGTTTTTTTTTATTTTTATTTTCCGACCACCGAAGAGGTTTTTGACAAAAGATATACCTTCTCTTTGTATATATGTATATAATAAAGGAATCGCTGTGTATATTTGAATTTAGTAACTTAAGTCACTTTTTTATTATTTTTATTATTATTTTTACAATGCCATTCCTTTTATTTGTCAGTTGACAAAATATGCAGCATCCAGCTTTATCTTGAGAGCATTAATATAATCGTTGATCTTTTCTTAGTTTATTTTTATTTTTATAAAGAAACATTTACACTTGTATTTATTCTCATTCTCCTTCCCTATCCCAGCATGCTCTTTCAGTTTTGTTCAGATGTGGGCGGAGCATCACGCCCCACCTCCACTATGTTTTTTTTTGTCCAATGATGTGATTTGATGTGAGCATCTGCTTATTCTACTCGAAATTTTGGCCAAATGAAGGGAACAGTTTTTGTCAGTTAATTTTGTTCCACGTTTTGTACCTTAGTCCATCGGAGGAGTTAACTGGTCCCGTTATGGAGTGGCAGTTAATTTCTTATTGTCTCCCCCCTGGACAGAATTTTGTTATGTTTTGGGACAGCACAAAAATAAAGAAATTAAAAGCATTACTTGACAGAGCTGTTGTAGAAGCTGGTGAGTAAAGAGATTTAAGGGGGATGGGGGATATGAATCGGAAGAACATGTACATATTTTGTAAAGTTGTTTTGCAAAGTCATAAGGTTCGTTTAGTGTAAATTTTATTTGTTCTTAGAAATAAATCAAACTATTTATTAAAAAGTTTATATTGTCCTTCAAACCAGTTTGTGACAGATCATAGTGAGCTTCCACAAGTGCTGTATGCAGCTCCAGTTTTCACGTGTCAAACAGGAAGCTCGTTTTATTGGCTGACTGCTGCAGATGCCCTGTATGTGTATGTGGAATAAGCCCTTGCTCTAAATACAGCAGATACTGTAAAGGGGAAAAACACTGCAAGTGGATCAATATGCCAACCTCATTGGGATTGGTCTAATTCAAACCAGCCAATCACCTGCCATCTCTTCCTCTGGGCTGACTGCAGACTGGCCAATAGGGTCAGGTGGCGTATTATGGCTTCATCCACCTGAAAGTTTAATGAGGGAGTTTTATAGCCAGTCGGGGGCTGCCGAGTGGCAGTGTTCCCCCGATGGCCCGGTCCGGCCGCGGCACACTGGGTTGTCTTGCAGCACTGCGCCCGTGACCATTCAACCCATAACCTGTAGCTTGTAACAAGGATCAGGCTCTGCCCCACATGTGGCCGGGCTGGTTTCCATGGCAACACAGTGTTAAGGCTGGTTTTGTTATGTAGTCCTACGTAGCATGTGTGAAGCATTGCTTGACGATAGTAAAGATGTGTGTGAACCTGCTGCATTTGCACTTAAGTCTCCTCTGCATCAAAGGATGCTCCTTCCAAATGGTACGAGCAGCATGGATACTGATGTGTATCTGTGTGTTTTCCTGTATGGCTGTTTCGGTAGCATGACCACACCATAACTGTGAGCTATGCTTCTCCAGAACTCTGCCACCCTGCTCCTCAATATACTGAAGTCCTCAAGATGTCAAACATTTATCTAGCAGGCAGTTTCGTCCAAAGCGACGGAAAAAGGTCGGTCATGCCAGTGGTTTTTCCTGTTTGATTCAAGGTCCATTTGATGGCAGCTGTTTCAACATGGTGTACCTAAGATAGAACAGGGTAGAACTGCAGAACCGTGGTTCTCTGTGTATAACTTGGGACACTGCTGAGCCGCAGCTCTGGCAGACAGGCTAACTCCTCCCCAGCTAACACGAATGTTGAGACGAGTGCCGGTATTTCAGAACCATGAGTGGCTGAAAGCCGACACCGGATTCCTGGAACGACCTTGGCAGCAGGGAGCCACACTTGGTGCATCACTCTCTGGCTCTGTAGTGGGCTGCCATCCAATCACATACTGCTGTGCAGGGCTGCCGTCCAATCACATACTGCTGTGCAGGGCTGCCGTCCAATCACGAACCGCCTGAGCACCTGTTGGCATGCCAATGGATGAGTATCAGTGCTGTCTCCGGGTGCCTGTTCAGTCACTGGTTCTCTTCCTTCCTGTTCTAACAGTGCTACACATAATGCCCCAACTTTCATATGATTTAAAGCATTATTTATCAGTCATGATTCATTTCCAAAGTGGAAAGGTATCATTTTAAAATGTATTTCTGTACAGCTGAATTGTTTTTGAACAATGCAGTGAAGTTAATTAAGAAAGGTTATTTTTAAATACAACATGCACTGTACACAGCTAATTATACTAGCTAATCTAGTACCTTTCTCAAAAAATTGAATCTGTGGCTTTTTCATCATTAATGAAACTTTGTTCACTATTGGATTACTCCCTGCTTATGGATTTACATGTAATATTTCTGCATATACACCGTTTTAAGGGAGTTAAAGGATGCTGTTTCTGCTGAAGGAACCTCTGTGCCGCAGTCTGTTAGAGCTGCTCTCAATCTGAATGTTTGTTCTCCACTGTTCACTCCTGGTCTGATCAATCCCAGAGCTAGAGGAGGCGGAAATGTGTCCCTCACACGGCACAGGCGGGGTCACATGAGCACGGGGCAGCAAAATACGATGCTTCTCAGTTACTCTCACATGTCTGGAGTCCCCTGTACAGGTTATCATATTCTCTGTCTTGTATGCATTCTGCAATGATGACAACAATTGCTAATGTTTATTAATATGAACATATTTTCCAACAACACTATTGTTTCTGTTTATGACATTGTTCTCTAAACAGAAGGTGAATATGAACAAAAAACAATCTAAAACCTATTTGGCCCTAATATCAGAAGCTTGACAGCCATTAAACATGTGCTTAATAACTGTAAAGACCCCATTTTTAAGGTAGTCTTCAACAAAATAAAACAAATATTGCAAATTAGGGCATTTTTAAACATTGTTTTAAAACGAAGTTAAGCCTGATTCCTCGCCACCCCCCATCAGCTTGCCCGCGAGACGCCTCTAACTGAAACCTTTGATTTTCGCTGCGAATTCTGGGATTAGATGCGACGTCACGACCGAAACAGAAGCAGGATGGAATACGATTGATTTTGACTAAAATCTTTCGTAAAGCATAACTTTATAGTATACTAAGTGCATATCGATATAAAAGGTATTACATCACCGTATATCTCGTTTTGAATATATAACGGTAGGAATGTCGTACATTTTTCTGCGTTTTCAAGTAAATTCCGCGCCCCCATGGTCCTCGCTGAGGCCCCCTGTTGCGTACCCCCCCGGTTGAGAACCACTACTCTATACCATCAAATTAAGGTCAACTATGCTGTTAACTGTAGATACAGTGGGACCCGGGTATCCGCGGTGTCAGTTATCCGTGGTTTACCGCGGTCCGAAAAATTGGAAAGTTCCAGAAATAAACGGTTTCGAAGCGCGTGTAACAGGCTGTAGCACGCGCCCTTTGCAGCCGGTGAGTAACCCACAACAGGCTACGATATTTAAAAAAAATGTAATTTTCTCATTACAGGTAGACGATACAGTAATTACATTGTGAAATGGGCAGCAGTATGTTTTTCATTGTTCCTTTTTCCTTTTAGGGGTATAAACATGATTCTCATTGCTTCGTCATTCTTGTTACGCGATTTTTTTTCATTGCTCTGTAGTCTATAGTCTTCAGATTTAGGCTAAAATATCGAAGTCCCTTTCATTCGTGAATAAGAGAGATAGTACAGTACCGTTTAATATTGTACTATGTACTTTGTTATTACTGAATTTAATGTTGGTAATGTCTTACTGTGCTTAATTGATTAATTAATGTTTACCATATGTAGATACACGAAAATTAGAATATGGTCCACAGACACTGGGGGCGGGGCTGCTGTATTTATACACGCTGTATTAATCCGGGGCAACTTGAAGAAATGCAAACGATACAAATCACTATGGTCTATAACTCTAAGCAGCCAGGGCTCTGAAAAGGTGAGCGAAGTGTAACAATCGGTCGGTTACAAAAGGAGGTGGGGCAAAGTGCTAAGAGAGGAGTGATGTAGAGGGGAAGTCTGAGACATCAGCATACATCGGGAAGATGGAAGCAGGCAGGCAGCCATGTTCTGGATGCCTCTATTGGGACACCAAAGGAGGCAAACCTGCTGTATACATCATTAGGTTAATGAAGCTGTACTACGGTAACAATCTATAGAAGCTACCGTCAGCATTCACTTCTAAAGAGATATAGGACATACAGCATGCTGTACATTAAAGCTTTTCTCTGTGCCCTTACAGACTTGGGCATGGAGATCCACTCCTCCACATTTTAGAAAGGGCTCAGCATTAAGCACCACCAAAGTTGAAAGCATGATATCAAAAAGAAATGGAAGGAGTTTACAGTCAGATAGAGAAGGTTTTTGACTTGTCTGAGGGGGAAGTCAAATTGAGAATTAATTTCAAGAACACCACGATTGCTGTGTATAATTTCTCTTTGGAATGTATATTTAATTAGTTACACTGCTTTTAAAATTTTTCATGTAAACCACAGATAAGTGGCATCTGTTGTTTGAAGATTCAGGCAGGGCAGCTATGACTGCAAAGTTAGACTGCCGATGAGTTACTGAGCAAGAGCGGAGAGGATGGACCGCAGATGGTGGAGCAGGCAGGCAGGCCGGTGAACTCTTCTGTTGATTTGATTATATGTCCAGGCCTTGGCTTTGGCATTCTCACTATTACATGAGTGACTCTGGATTCCTATTGTTTTCCAATCATTGCTATCATTCACTCCACAATTAGATAAGCTACTTGTAGCCAAAATTCAAATCCACCATTTATTTGCCATTTTTGAGCCTTGAATGGGGTCGGTGTTTGTGCCTGTTTGGACACACATGTGTGTGTGGGTTGTGTGTATGTGCGTGACTACTTGTGCCTGTCTCGCCTCCATCCGTGCATTGCCTCGCGTGTGTGTTATTGTGTGCTGGTATTCACGCCATGCAGGCAGTGCTTTTGTCTTGTGCCAACCTGGCAGTGCTCTGTTGATTGACAAAGGGGGTAAAGCGGTAAACCGACACTGATATTACTGAGATAATAGACTGTTGATGTTGCTTAGGCAAGGAGACCATGGATGAGAGTCGAATGAGGGGTACTGTGACTAAAGGACTGAAAGGAAGACATCTATGAGTAACAGGCCAGTCAGGGAATGGAAACAAACACCAGTCAGACTTCCAACCTGTGTGGCATGTGGATAGTGACCGTGTCCATAGGGACTGTTATCTCCTCATGGGGGAAGAGGCAGAGAGGACCAGATCTGGGACATTGGGGACGTTAGCTTGTGAGGGCACTGTTCTCCGACAAGTGACATTGCATGGCATAGTATCCTTGTTTTTGGTTGAAATACAAAGAAGTTTACAAAGATTGAGACAGATATTTAACCTACATTATTATAGTTAATATTAAGGCTGCGTGATATCGTATCAGAATCGATGGTTTATTAGAAGACCAGACGTCTAGAGATGTGCGCATGCACAATAATCACATTGCATTTGTCGGCACTGCTTTGTGTCTTGTTGACACATCTCACGGCAACAGTGCCAACTTATTTGACACACACTGTTGGTAGATAATAACAACTTCTATTTGGCTATAGTTTATTTATGGTAAATTTCATCTCCTTTTTTAATACTAAAAATATCACAATATTTCTTTCAGAAATGTCACATATTGCAATGTGATATCACAATGTGATTTTGTGCAGCTCTGTTTAATACTCAGTTGTATAAATGTCATTGAATGTGTGCCTGTCCAGCAGTTCCCCAGTTTCGGTCCTGCCGGGCCAGAATCCAACACAGTTTGCCGATTTCCCTGCTCAGATCCTCCTACTAAACCTGATAGTTCGCTGATTAAGGTGTGTTTGCAACCTTGCAAGTTCCTATTAAGCAGACCATCTGAATGCATTTCTTGGTGTCTAGCATGAGATGACGTAAAACGACGCCTCAGGCTTCGAACCCCACTGCTGTTGGTGCGAGGCATCAGTAATGCCCACAGAGCCACAAGCCCACTCTTCACTGCTTACATGTTCCAAAGATAGGCCAAGTGCAGGATGGCTGCGTTTAGCCGTTAAATTGGCCGAAGTACCACAATCTCTACTTGTTCCTGTGACATTTTAATCACCAGAGGTCACACTTTATGTACATCTTAGCCTTATAATTCAATGACTGAAACGCAGAGAGAAGCATATCATATATCCTTAACACTATTAATGTGAGACCCTGGGAGGAAGAGCAGTGTGTGGGGAAGGGTTTGGGCCACTTTGACATTTCCACATTGATTGATCATTGGCTCCATACCTGCACCTTGATCAATAGAACCCAGCTGGCACGGAATGGACAGATTGATTGAGGGTTTTTAATAGGGTCAGATGTGTGGATTTCGAAGCCTGAGGGAGCTCGAGGTGTTGGCTTTAATTGGAGGGCTGGGTTAAAATTGCAGGGCTTTGTGCTGCAGGTTAAGCCCTTTTAAAGGGGCCTTGACCCCTTTTGTGTTAGGATCCCTCCCCCACATTTTGTTTTGCACAGGAATATGCTTTGTCAAGATCTGCATTAAGCTGACCGAGGGCCCGAGTCGGTGCTCAGGACATGAAACTTCATGCGCTTGCCAGTTCTGATTAGCAGAATTACGGTAGATTTTATTAATGTTTTTTTTTTGACTATGGAAAATGAAAGGTTGATCTACGGGCCACATTTAATAATATATTTTAAACATATCACAGGCTGGAACTTCGTCGAAATCCCTGAAAATGGCTGATCATTCAATGCCGTCATCTCCCTTATTTTAGTAGTTGTCAGTAGCTCTGGTGCTGCCAGTTTTGAAGGTTTATAAAATATAAATATTGGCCGGCAGTATCAGTATGTTAACAGATCTGTCGTGGATCTCTACATACTTTTGGTTCCATTTTCAAAAAGACAATATGCAATGCAAAATAATAATGAAGAAATATGTTATTCAAGAATTGCAAGAGAAAATCTTGATTCATGGTGAGGTTGAAATCGAGGTTAATTTTTTGCCCAGAATTGTGTAGCCCTACTCCTCGTTTAACGTTTCTGTTGCAGGCATAAAGAGACTCAGGGTGCACACAGTGCTTACGGGCGCACAGCAGTGTTTACGGGCTCACACAGTGCTCACGGGCGCACAGCAGCAGGTGCCGATGTGTGATACTCTGGGTCCTGTGAAGTCGGATGAGGGGCAACAGTCCATCAAAGACCTTCTCTGCTCTTGCCAAGGTTTGTGAACCTGTGTGGAAAGACCTCCCAGGTAGGGGATCACCGACGTAGCGTCAACAGAAGCCGCCTCAGTGAAGATCCAGTAAAAACCGCTCATTTTATATTGTAACTTCTGCTAAACAAACAAATGAGTCATTAGATGAATAACGATGGACCCGTGCCCGTTATCGCTGATGTTCTGTGAATGCGTCCATGTCCGCTTTGCAGCAGCTGCATCTCAGTATGTTTCCCTTCTTTAATCTCCTTCTTTGAATGTTAAAGCATGAACCCACACAAAGTGATTAAAACATTCCAAGAAGCACAGATCTTTGAGTCGATTGGCAAGCTCCGTGTGGCTGCAGACAGGGTGGAGTGGTAGACGGGGCTGCCCACTGCGATCATGCCAAGTGCTGCCGCTCATTAGTGACTGGGACTCGCAGCCACACTCGGTGCGTCCATGTGCTGGAGGTGAATCACAGGCCCCTGCTCCAATCATGATGTGGCGACACCTGCCAACATGTACTCAGTGTCTCCTGCTGGAAGTAAACTGGCCTGTGGTAAGTTGTTACCTGAACAGGAAGTCCCTCCCCCTAGTGGGTTAGTTCCTGTTTAATCCAGTGAAACAACTGGGATCCTTCCAGACTGCTCCCTTCTATTTTTCCACTAGCTGCATTGCCTTTACTCCGTATCTTGTCAGGGCATTTAATGTGGTGAGTATTTTTTCCTACCAGCAAAACTGCTTGTGAGACTTTCCAGACATTTCTTTGTGTCTCTGTGCAATGGTTTTTGTGGTTCAAAAAACCAGATTATCACCCCTGTGTCTCTGTACATCATTGAGTAAGGGAGGAATCTGGGCACTGTTGCTTGTCTAGGTATATTCCTTTACAGTATGTTTCTGGACGTGTTTGATGTGTATCAGGCCATGTTTTGAAGCAAACAAATACAATTACAGGTGCTGGAGAACCTAAAGGTTTAACTTCTTTGCTTGCTGCCTGCTGTTAAAAAGTAATAGTCTTTAAGCCAGAATAGAAGTTTAACACAATTTAGTGGGCGCTAATTGCCTTTGCACCCTCATAGAGAGTCACAGCAAACGAGGTGGTGTTAATCGCCTTCGAGCCCCAAAGAGCATTTGTGATGTGCATTCACTATGCTTGTGAGCACATATGTGTTCAGTATGAGCTGAAATTCTGCACAG